ATTCTCAAAACAAAAAAATTAATGTTATAGTCAATGTAAACAAACAATTATAACAGAGAATAGAATTATATTATTTTTTTAGAAAAAAATTTTATGAAATAATAGAGAAAGAAATAAAATATAATTACAAATATAATTACAAATATAAATAAATTATAGAATTGTAAAAACGAAAACGATGTAAAGAAAATGTTATCTTACATTTCGATTAAATATTCGACAGCCATGTTTGAATATTCGTTCCATTACATTGTGAAGACGATTTAAACCACCATAAACATTCCATACGTTTAAAACACCATCAACTAATAAACCTTCTACAATAGATCGAAGACTTTGTAAAAGTTGCCATTGCTCTTTGATGTGGGCGTCTCCACACATAGTGACTATTAGAAATCATTCACTTTATATTTTAACTAGTTCTTTAATGAATTATTTTTTGTTACGTCATAAAATATTTTGAACAAGTCATTAATTATTATATACAAACATTATATACAGGTATTAGAAAACATTGCTTATGCTATTGTTGATATTTTTCGAATTAATTTCAAAAGACATTATTTGAAAGTTATATCATTATAGTAAAGCTGTTATATATTTATACGTTATCTTTTAACGTAGATAAAATCACGTAACTTCATTTTTTTATTTGATCTTACTAATAATTCATAAATGATTTAGAAAGCATTCGAAAGTATACTATATAAATGTTATACTACATGAACATAGAATAACACAAATGACATTGATATTAGGTTAGAAATTAGTGTACGCGCAGTGCGTAAACCGTTAAATCTAAATTGCTAGAAACATCGAAATCCTGTGGCGGTCTCTAACGGCAACTTATAAAAACTATCAAGAATATAATAAAATCAATCGAAAAAAATTGAATACAGTTGTCATTCAATCTATTAAATCATATAAATTTTTCAAACTATACAATAGAAATAAAATTTTTATATTCACAATGTATATCACATTTTTAATACTCAATTTTGACTATTATATTATATTATTAAAAAGGGTTCCAAAAATACTACATTATAATTACATATATGTATTTCAGAAGTGTACCCACAATTTTGAATTCTTCACAGATAAGATATAAACTCATACAATGCAAAGTCAAATATTTAATTGTAATTTCATTCGCAAATTAAGGTCTTTAGCAGCAAAGACTGCTGGTCTTAAAACAAGAAAAAATATTAAAAGTAATCTATTTAATTTAATAATTGATAATTTTTTTAATTTGATAAAGCTGAGTTTTTTAAAGCTGAGATCTTATAAATGACAATGCCAGTATATACAATAGAATAAAAACTGAATATTTTAAAAGATTAAAATCACACTAAGTGTACAATGCAATCTGTGAATGGTAAATATATTTTTAGTGACTTTTAACTCTAATAATAATTATTAATAGATAAGTCTTGAACGAAATATATTTTTCTTTCCATTTTTTTTGCAATCAGAAAAAATTATGGAAAGTAAAAATATTTAGCAAAACTTCCATCGATTTCCACATTCATTGCATAACACAAAAGTAGTCATAGGTTCATCAGCTGAGCGTGTTTGCACTTGATTGTAAGTACAATTTCGTTTTTTGCACTTTCCACATTTTAATAGATCAGTTTTCGTTCCTTGCACTGTAGCAAGTTGTGCATCATTGATTGCCTCCTTTTTAAACTGTTCTCTTAATTGTTTTATTTCATCGCTTGCCATTTCTTCTGCAGTCATAACAGCAAGCCTAGCAGGTGTAATAGCACCAGCAATAAAATTCGTTCGAAGATTAGGATTTTTTATATCACGTAAATTAGCAACTCTACTTCGTACCTAGACAATAAAAAGCATATGATTAAATTATATTTATAATAAAATACAAAAATATATTGAAAAAATAAAATTTACCCTATTTTTATATCTATTATCAGTATTTTTAAATTCTGCATAAATTGCTTCTTCCAATTCTTCTGCTAATTCTTCTGGAGTAGCACAGCCTTCAATTGTGTTTCCATCTACTCTTAGAGCTGCTGCCAGCAATTCCCTACATTTAAGTCTTACAGCATCCGTTGTTGTAGGAGCAGGAAATGTTGACTGTTTTCTCTGATTATCTTTATGAGGTTTTTCTTCTTTCATTTTGACATCACTTCCATCTGCATTATCCTTATCTTTTTTTTGATCTCCATCATCTTTATTTTTCTCTGATTTATCATCTTTTTTCTTTGAACTACTTGAAGAAGTAGAATCTTTTTCTTTATTAGATCCTGTAAAAAAAATATATATAATACAATTATAATATATAATTTTATTTCACATAATTATCTATTAAAATTTTATGAAAAAATTTATTATATTTATAATATTTTATTTATATAGATTTATTTTTTTACCAGATAAAAATTTTTTCCAGTTTTTAATAAGTGTTTTAGATAATGATATAACTTCTTCATCTCTACTTGATTTTCTTAATGCATTTACTGTCATTCCAATTCGTGTCTTTGTCAATAGTTCTAAATCAACTGGTAATTTTTGTAGTATTTTAAGTAATTCCAATGCTTGTTCTTGTCCCTGTAATGAAAAAACTTTTTCTTGATATAAAAAAATACAAAATACATATGATTCATTCATATATTTTTCACAATATATAATCATAATGTATAATCATTTTTCATAATCATAACTACTATGTAAGTATATTATATTTAAATAATTTTGCGAATTTACAGTATTAATATAATTAATTTAAACTTAAAATATTATATTTTATCATATTATCATTTTTTATATAATAAATATATTACAATTATGTCTTTTATAATTATTAAAACATATATAAACAATTCAATGATGTAAGTTATTAAAACGATATTTAGCATAAACAATCGAATTATAAAATTTTTATTTATATTGAATTAATGTAATTAAAGATTTTAATTACATATTCAATGCTCATATAAGTAAAAGATATATATAAAAGATTTATAGCACATTTTGATAAACTTTTATATTTTGGTAAAATAAAAAAATGATCTAACTTTGGCAATGTTATATGAACGCATTAAAATTAGTATACCAGATATTAAAGCTCTATAACACATTGTAAAAGCTACAGTTAATATCAATTGTTTGTGTCAATAAAATATTCATACGAATAAACATTTATTTTTTCAAAAAAAATTCGAATGATAATAGATTCATATTTATTCACATTTACACAATATAATCGTACTTTATAATATTGGAAAAGAGCTTTATTAAGCCTCCAATATGCCGAGCAGGATACACAACTATATTTTACTCACTTACTCACCGTCCCGTCACCGCTCGACATCTTGTTCAATTTCTTTTGGATTCGTAAGACTTCTTCTTCAGCACTCATTATGAAAATTTTGTAGTTTTTACACAGAAAACCAATATAAACACATACAACACACCAAGCGAATGAACAACAAACCCCGAGTACGTTTGTAACCGAAACTTGCGATGCAGAGTTCGATACTGGATAGGTAACTCGTAACCATAATATACTAAGGTTACAGTTATTGTATGTTATTACAGTGACATCTTTTGAAAATAAAATGATATACAAAGTGTGGGAATATTTAAATATTTTATAGGAAACTATTTTTTTGATTTTTGTAATGAAAATGTATTAATGTATAAAATACATTACATAATACATTACATTATATAATATATATATAATGTATAATGTATAATAAAAATTTTTAAATAATATTCTCTTTTTTTATTTCGATATACTATAATATATATAATATTAGTATAAAGTATAAATATTAGTATAAAGTTTTATTTAAAATATTTTCCATTTTTATAAAAATATTAACAATTTTGAAAAGTTATATTAGAAATAATACATTTAAATTATTTATTAAAAAAATATTTTTAAATTATTTATTA